AACGCCTTATCCACCTGGCCATGCCGGGCCAACTAAGGTTTTATTGGATAAAATGGCGAGAAACTGTCTTGTATGGAAAGACTGATTAAGCACAGGTGAGACGTGATTATAATAGCAATGTTACTTTTATTTTTATTTGTTTGAATTCTATGCACAAAGCTACGCAAAGAGCTATCTGTGCTCTGCCCACCACATACCGCTGTGCCATTGGGGAGGGGCTAGCAATGTTACTAGCAGAGAAGAATTATGCTAACAAACATTATATAGATATATATATTTGTGTGTGTGTACGTGTATAAATAACTATAGAATAATATTAGGCTTGATAGAATTAAAACTGTTGACATTCTTATACATTAGCAAAATACTATTGGGGGGGGGAGAGGCATTATTTTTCATCTTCAGAGCCTTTATTTAAAACTAAAAATAATTATGTAACAAAAATTGATCAAAGAATATAACAACTGCCTGATTTAAATACACACATACAGCAGCTTTGGTTGTACTGATAATCATTTCTGAGGCTAGACGGATCCTTAGAATATGTATGAATTTTTTTTTAAAAGGCTTAATACATTGATGTTGCATTGATCAAATTGTAAAAAAAGAAAAAGAAAAGAGAATCTTACCTGAGCTCTTATTTTCACTGAAAATTTAGGGAGAGTCTCAAAATCCAGTGGCGAATTTAAGATAAGAATACCTTCCAAACGATTATCAAACGCCAAGAGATGCTAAATATAAAGAAATGAATATACCAGTTGTGATAAAAAGCAATATACAACAAAACTAATTTCATACTAGCTATAATCTTTAATTCCCCCGTTTTATTATGGTAATGTTGTTTTTTTTATAACTAATTGTAATATGTTAAATGTTTTGAATAAGAAATAATATTTCAATTAAAACGAGGGGGGGGGTCTGACATGTTTATTCAACTATCTGAGTGTGTTCATATATCGTACAATCTCACTTCAATATTATTTCTTTACATTTAATATATTAAACTCATTTTTTATTTGAATCCAAAGCTCAGTTCAGCTGAATTAAATATATATTTTTGTCTTCTCTGTGTTTATTTATATATTTTTGTCTTTTCTGTGTGCAATATTTTCGTTGTACAATAATGGCTCTAAACACGTTGCCAAGTTTAGTTGTTTTACCTGCGTAAACAAAAACTGTTACTTAAGACCTAGTTTTTGCTCCACGTAAACAAAATTTGGGCAATTCATTTGGTTCGGGTAAGTGTATGTAATAGAAGACCATGGACTGTTTGTTCTGAACAAATTTATTAAAAGTTCTGGAGCATTTTGGTACAACTTACAAAGCTTGAACATATTTTAGTATTTTGATGTTTTGATTGTGTGTTACAGGTCAAAGTCAGAATAAGTGTTAGTGTATTAAGTTGTGCTGCTAGATACGTGTGAAATTCGCTATCGGATAGAGGTTAAAGTCAAGCCAAATGTTGGTGTTTTATATTGTTAGACACAAGTCAAAGTCAAACCCAGTATTAGTGTTTAACGTTGTTAGACATAGTTCAGAGTAAGACCAAATATTGGTGTTTTATATCGTCAGACACAAGTCAAAGTCAAACCTAGTATTAGTGTTTAACGTTGTTAGACACAGATCAGAGTCAGACCAAATGTTGGCGTTTTATATCGTCAGACACAAGTGAAAGTCAATTCCAGTATTAGTGTTTAACGTTGTTAGACATAGATCAGAGTCAGACCAAATGTTGTTGTTTTACATCGTCAGACACAAGTCAAAGTCAAACCCAGTATTAGTGTTTAACGTTGTTAGACATAGATCAGAGTCAGACCAAATGTTGTTGTTTTACATCGTCAGACACAAGTCAAAGTCAAACCCAGTATTAGTGTTTAACGTTGTTAGACATAGATCAGAGTCAGACCAAATGTTG